AGACAAATTTACGGGAAATAGCGGTTGTAAAATTAAACAGGCGAAAAAGGAATACAATACGGACGGCTTGCGTGCAACACTTGCATAAAGTTTTACGTTATTTCGCGACAACGCCCTACTAACGCGGGTGTATCATCAGCAACCATTAATTAGCGATCATTCTCTCTCGTCCTTGATAGAGGCGAGAATGACTAAGGAAACTGCATAATAGGAAGATTTAGGGGCGTCATCCATGTCACGCGAAGTAGCGGTTTGTCCATATAGTATGATATGAAGATGATACTACGCAGAAGCAAAATTATGATCGTAATGTTTTTTTTCCGACATACATTTGACAAATTATAAGTGGCCATTTAAAGTAAATCTCTTTCACATGTCGCTACGTTGCTGTATCTATAACGAAGCTACGAATAAAGAGCGAGCGCTTTGCTATTTTTTAATTTAAACCTCGGCTTTGTATGCCCATCATCTCAACACGTCGTAATTAACAGGCAACAGTTTTCCTTCAATTTCTAGTAAAAGACGGAATCTGCGTTTGGTTTTGCTGCCTCGTTAAAAATATTCACTCGACAACGTTGAAATAATCGGACCGTGAATTAAAATAAACGAATTAACATACAAAATTATAATTTATTTTATACAAGAGAAGCGACAAAGTGTTTCTTTACCGAACCGTGTGTTAATTATAATTAGTCTCTAATACACGGAAAAAATAATTGCAATTATCGCGAATGTGAAATCTTTTCTTTTGCATCTCTGTTTTCGAAAAACGTGAAGTTACTTTTTCTTAAGAGAGGCTACGTGTAAATGGATAAAAAAAAATTATTAAAAAGAATTTTATATTTACAGAATACTCTCAGGGTACATTCTAAAATGAGCGAAAGTGAAACTTTGGATGCAATCGCAGAGATTGTTAGTCCTTTTATTTTTATCGTTATGAATGCGCAAGGCTCGACGACATATAATTTCGAGAGAGTTGACGATTTTTTTATTACTTATATATCCATGAAGGAACTATCTCAAAGATATTCCCCCGCCCCTAATGTCCCTTCCTCGTTCTTTCTTAAAACAGCGCTTCCAAAATCTTGTTATTTTCCATTATTATTGACTCTTGTACTGGCGACACCGGTTTCGGTACTTTTTCGATCCTATCCACTTTAAGAAATAATGTCTAAGATTTGTGACCCTTCTGACAAGTGAAACTTTGTTACATAAAGTCTTAATATTCGAAAAGATATTTCTCAGTAGTTTATTAGAAGTTTATATAAGGGGATAACCCGAACTTTGTGAACTTTTTCACTGCAAAACTTTGATCGCGATATACATTTTCACATCTGTTTTTATACGCGTATAAACGTTTTTTTACTCTTTTCTTAATAGTTGCTTTGGAATTCTCTTGGTTAATGAATATGCCGGTATCGAAATCAGCGTCTCTACACATTCTTCGAACGCCAGGTACTGCCCCAGTCACCTAATTCTAACACCGAATTACGCAGAATAATATTAGCCTAAGTACAGTACTATAATACGGCTGTAAATCTTTAGATACGGAAGCATATGTATCGGACGTGAATGTTTATGTGTGGTATATATATGTCTTTCGCACGCGTATTCATATATATATATATATCTTCATTTTTTGAAAAGGTTCACCCTATAAAGTACAGCGTTACAATTATTAAAATGCATCGATATATATATATATATATATATATATATATATATATATGTATATAGTTCATTCATTCGATCATTACTGGGTCTTCATGAAGGTCGAATGGTTGTCGGTACACGCAATGCGATCGATCGTATGAAATATTATGCACGTCTGTTATCGAGAACAAGGAAAAATGTTTAAGATGCAAGCTATCCACAAATGTTTGTAATACCTTCTGTCATTTATATACACCTTTAATTATCGAAACATAAATTTACTCTCTTGTGAGATGTGTATGAAATATGCAAGTAAAATAGAAATTAAATATAATTTCCATAAAGAGAAAGAGAGAAAAAAACGCCGCAAAATCTTTAATATTAAAATTGTATTAATAACTTATTATTACGCGACTTGTGTAATACATAACACAAATTTAAAACTCTCATAAATCATACGAGTTCGATGCATATAAATGACATTTTAATTATCTATGGTCACGATACAGTTCTATTACGCTACTACGGTATAGGTAATGTATACTAATTATTACTATACGACGTACATATCAACGATCATTAGTCTTGTTGCTTTTCACCTTACATAGCAGCACTGTAACGCGCGTACGGTGACAGTTAGAAAAATTTTGTGCCCGCATCATATTTACGGCGAATCTTCTCCGGCGTGACACGTGCATTTTCGCGTAACATTCTACGGATGTATAATATGTATCTGCAGCGATCGGCACGAAGATTATCGGGGGGATTTGTCGATACGTTTTTTTTTTTTTTTTTTTAGGAAATGCTCCTGTCTCTCGGAAAAAAATCTACGAGATAAAATTCCCGTCGTTATTTCGCTTCGCGAGGGAGCGTGTAGAAAATGTAACAAGAGTACAAGTTGCGGAAATATTGTCGGCGTAATACTGTCTCTCACGTGACGGCGCGGATTACAACGCGAGGTATCGATTTTTCTACGTTCACGCGCGATTGAATGGAATATATTGGCGAAATGCATCGCTCCAACGAGTGCGTCCCTGGATGGCATTAATATCGAGACAACGCGAGATAAGCGCCGCCGATTTTGGAAGTCCTTACGACGTATTTACGACGGTTAACCGATTATACCGATCACACGAGCGATAGCCCCTGTCCTACTTAATTCATTCGAAAATGCGTTAAGTGAAAGTTAAGTGATTCGGATAATCGTCAATATTTATAGGAAATGTTGCAAAATGGCAAATACTTGCTTTATATACGTTGTATTTGCATGAATGATACGAGAATGTGCGATCGTAATAATGGTGGATGAAAGTGCCCATTGATATTCTATTATCCCAGGAACTAAGAAAGCGCGGTTCACACTTTTATATATTCAAAATCGCTTTAAATAAAGTCTTAAGATGTTATATAGTTGACATCTCTCTCTTGCGACTCAAGACTTGAAATCGCCTTATATGTTATACATTTATATAGCATCTTTTAAGAGCATTTCTTGAGACGATCTTGAATATAGTATTCAAGTATGAATACCTCCTTAAGAAATACGATCTTCCCTGTATACCGCACGTTTATTGTTTGCACGAATCACGCGAAATGTACATTTACACCAGCGATTAATTGCCGTTAAATTTCTCCGCGTTTCTCCGTCTCGTCAAACGACTCGTCACGCTAATAGCCGCGCGTCTAAAAACCTCTTTTGTGCTTTTCGCGAGCTCTCTCGTGATGCTAGTTCTTCTAGGTACGTATCACGTGCGTTTTACTCTGCAATGTAGTTCTTTGTAGATCCCGGTGTACAGGAAATGTCGGGCTATTCGCTGGCGCAATTTCTACTCCAGATCGTTTTCACACACATACACACACATCCATTTTTCTCACTCTCAACGCGATTCGCAAGTATTTTCTGTTTCTTTATGGGTATTTACGAGAGCGATGAATTTCGATGTTTTACGAAATGCGAGTTTTCGCGAGTATCTGCGCGACGTACGTTCTTATCGCTATAATATGACTTGTCGTTATGCCCTTTGTGATCCTCAGGTAATACTCAAACGCGCGAACAATGATAGTCGATGTAATTATAATTTACAAGTATAATTTATGACAATGAGACTTACGCAAGAAAAGTAAAAAAATAATAAATAAAATAATTAAGATAAAATAATGTTCGTGATGAAATAAGATATTTTTTCTTTTTTTACAAACCATACTATGTCGCGTTTTGCAGGCATATTTTCACAACACTTTTCTACGTCGCGCAGACACATAGCAGCAGATTCTAACAATAATAGTTACTACCTTAAAGCGTATATCTACGAATAAAGCACCATCTATAATATTACGTCTAAAATGCTTATTAAATGAGCTTCTCGATGATCGCGTTGGATCTCGAGATCAATCATCATCGATCACGATAAATCGATCGTCACCGAAGCGACGTCACTCGTCCCTTAGAAATATTGCTTGGCCAAGCGTTAGTGGTGTTACACTTAAATTGACTAGTACCGTTTGTAACGTATGTCTCTCGTACAACCATTTTAGAGGCTGTGCGCCTCTTTAACAACCTCAGTGAAAGAGGGCAAGCACAAAACCGTCGTCGCCCTTTTAGACAGCAAAGCTTGACTTCCTTTTGGTGTCGCGCACCATATTGACTATGTATACGTGTCCTTTGGTGGCACGATCTTAATCTTAACGCCAAATATTATTTAGTTCGCAGTATCTCGCTCGTTTTACAGTCGACGTACCAACGCACTCGACATTCGAAATACGTGCCGCATAATAAAATTGAAGCACGCGAAAAATCAATTGTCGAGAAAATACGTCAATCGCCAAATTGATCGAGGCGCTAAAATACCGACATTATAGATGAAAGACTCGTTTTCGGCGTGCGCAAGTATATCATCGATAAAATAAAATAGAATTCGGACTTGATTAAATATCAATATCGGAGCCTCACGTCAAATGAAACATCGATGCCGATCGCAAAAGTAACACGTGAAAAGTGATGTTAACATATTAATTCACAGCTTTACCCAACCTCCGAATTTCGAGTACGCTTTACAAAGATTTTCGTGTCCTCACTTGATCATGATACTCACTGCCGTGGGTCCCTGCGAGATAGCGTTTTCCTTAGAGGCTTCTTCGACCTCCTTGAGCTTCTCCTCGGCCTTACGTTCCTTCAAGGCCTTGAGCAGCTTCCACTTGGACCCGGGTGGGCCAGGACTCACCTGGCCCTCCTTCAATGTCGTGTCCGAGCTTCCGCAGGACGAGGAGTCGATCTTGATCTTCGGTAGACTCAAGGTCGCCGTGGTAGCTGTCTCGGCGCTACCGGCTCCGTCGCGCTCGAGGCCTTCAAGGACAGTGCTTTCAGAATCCCAAGCTCCCGGGATGCTGACCGACACTTCGCTAGGTGGTACACTTACGCTACCTTCGCGGGATAGGGAATCTGAGCCCTGCGGCATCTTCTCGCTGTGACGTAGCGTCGAACCGTTGGAACTTCGTCGCGACTGCTGTTCTTCGAGATCCTTCGGCAGCTCGTCCTCCTCTTCCTCGTCCATCGACTGTCCGGGACTGTCAGGACCGGACGTCTCGCCGGATGAACCCTCCTCCATGGACGGTGGAGGCTTTTCCTTCTTGGCTTCTATCTCGTGCGCCCATGTATGATAATCGGTCACTCTGGCGAACACAGCCTCCACGCTTTCCGCAGACTTTCGCTTCGGAATAGGTTTCTCGTCGCGATATCTACTATCGTTCTCGTCGAAACGATGCTCCTTGATGACTGTACCGTTCATTCTAGTGGTTCGTGGTTCTTCCTTTTCCTCCTTCCTCTGATTCTTCGGTTTTGTGATAGCTTTAAGTTTAAGCTCCTTCAGTACAAACGACATCTTTTCTTTCACTGTCTCGTCCGGCTGGAAAGCTTCGTCTTCGGGTTCCTCAATCAGCACTTCGGTCATCTCCATTTCAGACTGCCTCTCCAACTCCTCGAGTTTTCTCAGTTCGTAACAATACCATTCGTCCTCGGAATCGATCGAGTCCTCGGTGCTCTGTCGCCTCGAGGACACTCTCGATGTGCTCCTATACGAATGCGTACTGCGATTATCCTCATCGGGTTCTCCCGGCCGCGAACCAGTCCAAGGGATCTCCAAAGACTGTTGGTGGCGCGGTAGAAACCGTGTACCTCCTGTAGTGCTATAACCTCTCATGCTAGATGCTGACGGGCTACCTTCCGACGGCGGAGCTTCCTCCGACAGACTGGTAACAAGTTCCGGCAATTTGGCGTTGCCTGATTTCTCGCTCTTCTCCGACACATCCTCCGGGTATTCGAAACTCGTCTCCAAAGTTGGCGCCGGACTTTCCTCTATCTTCTTTTCATTATTAATTTCATCGTTCGCTGGTTGTTCATCAGATACTGTTGAGGATTGCCGTTGACGATACTTTCCGAGTGCTCGAGATACGGCAAATTCCATGCTCGAGCCACCGATCAGAGTGACGGGAGGTAGTTTCGGTGCCTTCTCGTTAGGCGCCTCGTCCGAACTGCCCGTCGATCTTTTAATGTCGCCGACTGTTTGGAAGATCGATGATCCACCGGACCCCGAACCGGTACTCTTTCCTGAAGTTTCTTCTTCGAGCATGCCCAACTGCTCGTTTACGTCTTGCTCGTTAATTTCGATCTTTCTCTGTTCTTTCTCTTTGGTCCACGTATCCTGAAGAGCTTGTTGATGTAATTGCTCTTGATGTTGATGTAATTGCTCTTGACGAATTTGTTGTTGAAGCACTTGGTGCTGCTGCTGGAGCGTCTGCTGCTGTTGAAGCGCTTGCTGCTGCTGAAGCGCTTGCTGCTGCTGAAGCATCTGCTGCTGTTGAAGCATCTGCTGCTGAAGCGCCTGATGCTGCTGCTGTTGTAGGTACTCCTTTTGTTGCGTTTGAATCTGATGTTGCTGCGCGATCATCTGCTGTTGTGCCATCATCTGTTGCTGTTGCGCCGTCATTTGCTGCGGTGGCGGTTGCTTTCTTTTCATACTCGCAGTTTTTACCTTGGCAAAGAAAGGCGGTTCTTGAACGATATCAGATATGACACTATCTTCATCCTCTGACAGACCGCTCTGTCTACCACTGCTCCATTCGGTTTCGGACTGTTCCGGATCGGATAAAGACTGCGACTGGTGGCTGCGACGTTTGGCTTTCTGAAGAATACCGGAGACAGTGGAAACCAGTGTGTGCTTTTTCTTTTTTCTGACAGCCTGACCTCTGCCCCGGCCTCTACCTACCATCTCGGCGGGCAGCCTCTGCTGTTGAGCGTCTTGAGGCATGTCTAGATCTTCTCTTCTGACTCCGCCTGGTAATGATTGACTTCTGTGACGTTTACTAAGATGCAAATCAGGCAACCAATTACTCATAGAGCTCATTGCATTCTTCAACGAAGAGCCTCTTCTAATCTTTTTTGACAGCTTGGTGTTATCGACTTCGTGATCTTTCAAATTTGTAGCGATGCTGATATATCCGGATTGCGAGACTATAACACTCGAGGCATCGTAATATTCACTCTGCTGCGCCTGCTGCTGTTCCATAGATATCCTTCCGCTTTCATGATCTTGAATATATTGATGCTCTCTCTGCCATTGTCTTTGATAACCATCCGCGAGCTGCGCGCTCTCGGCACTGCTCAGTCGTTGACTATACGATTGATACTGCTGTTGATAAGCTTGCGGGTAGTTTTGATTCGCGTAAGTATGATGCTGCTGATATGCCGAATGCGCCTGATAGGCCGGTGGCTGGGGATATCTACGGTCCGTATACGGGCTTTGAGAGTAGCTACCGTCGGAGGTCAAGGATCTAATGCTGGAAGACGTCGAGTCGTGAGGTATTTGTTCTTCCATCGAGTTCAGCCACGACGTGTTCTCATTGGTTTCCGTTCGCGGCAGATTAGTTGCACTGGTCGGATAGTACGAAAGTGCATCGGTGATGTTGCCAGTGGGGAACATCGTGCGGTACATCGCCGCCTTGTATCCTTCGTGATTCGTCATGCCGTCCGTAAACGAGCTTCCACGCATCGGCTTTTTTGCGTGAACATTCGTGGCGCTCGTCGTCTCTGGATATTGAAGAGTGCCGTAATTGTCCTGGTAGTTGGTATATTGATGCTCCATCGAGTCAGGAGAGGAATAGTAAGCCGAGGTAGTAGTCTTGGGCCCGTAGGAACCGGAACCGCTAGTATACACGCTCGTGATAACTTGCTGCCGATTACTGCCAGCCACGGAGTAAATGGCCGGTTGTTCCGATCTGTAGATGTAATCTGTACCTGTACCGGAAGGCATCGAGCCGTAAGCGTGCTGAAAACTCTGCTGACGACTGCGTTTCTTAGGACTCTGACAGGTAGTGGTTACACCCGGAGCTGGCGGTGGTACAAATGTATAATCTTCCTTGGCCGGCGACTTACTGGCGGTCGTGTATGCCGATAAGTGATTCATCGTTGTTGTGTAAGGAGGATGACCGGCTGTGGTCGTCAAAGTGCTTGCGAAAGCATCTCTACCTTCGGGAGTATCGTAGAGAGGTTCTTGCAAAATGGTGACGGCGCCGGTCGTCTCGGGAAGCGGTGGTATCGGACTGGAGATTCTGGCGGGCTGCGTGCTCGGTATAAGATTGCTCGTACGAGTGTGATCCACCGAATAGGAAGTCAACATCTTAGTGATGGAGCTCTTCGGAGAACTCGGCGATTTATCTAAGCTGCTCCAGCCACTCATGGATGATAAACCAGAATCAGATTTTGCTGTTACTATATTGGCGGCGCTACCGGATTTAACCGTATGTTTCGGCGAGACTCTCGGTGACTTGGGCGAGTGAGGAGTGCGAGGACTGAGGCGACCTTGCTCCATGGAGACTAGCTTCTCCGTATTTCGCAGGAAACTCGGGCTCTGAGATCTTTTCGCGTCTGATTCTCTTTGATCCGCGCCAGGCATGAGGAAGGATTCGGTCGTGTCTCGCGGCGCCGGCGGAGGTGGCGAGCTAGGCGATGGGCTAGGTGGCGTCCGGCTCTCTTGGAATTCGAGATTAAGCTGGGCCGCGCTACCAAAATATCCATCTTGTCTAGTGCGGAGACCCTGCACGCTGTGAACGCTTTGCACGCTGCTGGCCGACAACGTGGGCGACGGCACCTTGTCGGTGGTCGTGCTATAAATATTGGGCGAAGCACAAGTGACAGCCGTCGCGAAGCTTTCGGCCATCAAATCTGTCAGTTCCTTGTTCTCCGCGTACCCTTTCGCGAAATTACCGACGTCGATCGGCAACTGAATCACCGGCTCTGGGCTCTTCTCCAGTATGGCCGACGTATAACCTAATCTAGGCGGAGTATAGGTAGTCGAAATGGAGTCTAAGTTGCTCCTGGACGTAGAAGTCAGTCTTGGCGATATAGATCTCGTTGTGAAGTCGCCGTCAGTAGCCAGTCCGCTGTCGGTACTGACTCTAGAAATTGATCTGCCGCCGGTAGAGCCGGGACTTTTGGAGAAGGTCCAGCTGTCGACATCGGTCTCCGCATAGATCTTCCTCAATTGCTCGTCTATACTACTTGCCTCCTCGGCAAGTTTTGCCTCGGCCTCGGTCGAATACTGGCTTCGCTTCGGCGAGTCTATCAATCTCGATTGCAATTCTATCAGATTCTGCGAGTCCTTCTGCAGCTTATTGGTTAATCTGTCTATCTCATGCAATTTCTCTAACGCGACTTGATCGAGAGAACTGAGTCTAGAAAGCTGAGCGAGATCTTGTTCGCTAATGCACGGTGTGTTCCCCCGGTAACTCTTGTAATCGGCCGCGCTAAATACCTCGCCTTCATCTTCGTCTGCTTCGTCCTGTTTCTTCATTATAGAGGTTTGTACTTCCTCCTTAGTCGGTTGACTAGACAGCTCCTCCAGTTCTTTCTCTTTTGGCATAGTCTTATCAAAAATGCTAGACTCCACTTCCTTCTTGCCGTTTATATCTTCGTCTTCAGCCTCCTCCCAGATCATTCCCAGCTGCGACGTCGGTCTCGATGTATCGCCGCAAATCAAATCTTCTCTATAGGCGTTGTTCAGACTTCTGTAGAATGCCTCATCGGGTATGTTGCCCTCTTCTTCGAGGGTCTCCAAGGTATCGAGATTTCTGACATTTCTGTGCATGTCAGTGACTACAGTTGCGGCCGTTGTACTATCTTGCGTGATCCCATGCATCCTTGCTAGCTCCTGTTGAGCCAGTTTTTCCCGCAGCACGGTAGTATCCTCGATGTCTATCGCTGCACTCAGGCTCTTTGCGATCGCGTCCAGTTCACCCACCGAGCCTTGCTGATTAGCCAGGGTCTCCTCGATAACGTTTACGTTCTCGTGAGCGCCACCACTGGTATAAAACTCGATCAACTGGCTGATCACAGTTTGCTGTTCGTACAGCAAACCCTCCAGCTTTTCTAGTCTTTCCCACATCTTGATGTATTCCTGACTGAGAAGATCCAGCGCTCTCCACGCATACTTCAGTTCGGTCTCGAGAATATTCAGTCTTGTGCCCAGTCTCTCCATGTAGTCACCTATGATGTAATCGATGTTACCTTCGCCAGACGTGGCGTAGGTCGGCAGAACTGGCGAGTGAGTCGGACTAGTCGGTGCTGGACCGCCCAATTTTGTCGAATCCATTTTCTAGCCTTGTCGGATGCACTGCGCGTCGTAAATGCTTTATTGTTTTCTTTTTAATTTTATTTTTGTTATGCGCCTATGTTTCTATCTGACGATCCCTGAGGCGATTCATCGTATGTCGAGGTTCGCTCCTAAATCAAGTCACATCCCCTCTTGTGGACCAAGAAGGAACATGAATTGCAGCTTGGCGAACCTCATGGAGGCCATTGGTGTAGTCGAATTTTTGGTCGTTGCGTCGCGTTCCATGATGATCTCCATGTTGACTCGTTTCGAATTTTCACATCTCACACAAAGTCTAACTATGTTCTACGATTTTTTTATCACCTTTACGTCTACATATATCGAGTGTTTCTCTCTTCAGGTTCCGTTCTACAGGCTACACCACGAACAGGAAGCTTGGAAGTCGAGACGCGATCTTGATAGAAGATTTGAAATCGCGCGATACTCTGCGCAAATGGCACTTTGTAACCAGTCTCGTACGTTCATGCCGCCATTGCTATCTGCAAAATAAGAAAAGCCAACCCGTGTGGCTTGGTACAAGGACAACCGAGTACCAAAATCCACGCCGATACAGCTTCCATGGTGTTCTCTCAATATATCTTAAAGATATCACATAATCGAGATAATAAAGTCAGAAATATGTTTAGGCATTTGCTTACATCTACGAGCAAAAGAAAGTTTTGCAAATATTTCATATAATCTAAAAAACAATATTATTAGAATGTAAAATATCATAATTGTAATTCATATGAACGTGCCGTTTAGGCGCGTCGTTATCGAAATTTCTATCTAATTATGCCCCCCCCCCCCCCCAATGTATTCTCAATCTAAATTTGATAGTGCCGAACAAGCGAGATTCTATTTCGAAATAAAATCCCTAAATCGGAAATCCCGTCAAATATATGTGCCACTTAAATATTACATCGCGTGCTGTGATAGAATCGATTAATCATATAATTTATGAAAATAAAAGATTTAAAAACGGTGCTTTTGTCACACATCGTCGTGTTTATTGATCTAACGCCCAGGAGCGATTCCACTCGTTGTCCTGCCTCGCATATCTCTCCGGATGATCAAAATAACCATCACGACCTGAAAACCTACGGTCGATCATATCTATATCCTGGATCCTCGATAAACTGTCGACGAGTCCATCTTTTATCACCGTTATTGCCATCTTGCACGCATATCGATACTAGCCTTTCCGTGTAACTCTACTGTTACGATTTACTTGCGACGCTACAGCATAAGATTCTGCTCTTTATGTTTGGCAAAAAAGTTGCCATCGTTCCGTAATAATAAGAAAACGTGTCGCTTAAACTTAGCTCGAAAATTATCGCGCAATTTCGAAAGTCGTTAACCTAATTTCGCGAAGAGAAGAAGAGTTTTAATTATATAATTGTTGACAATTTCTGACACGTGACAAGATTATGTTATTTGATAAAATGTGATGTCGTCGATAGATATGATACGTTACTTATTTCATCACAAAATTGTGCTATTTTAATATATTAAATTTAAAGGAAAAAATGATAATTTATAACGACGTCTTCTCCAAACTTTTTTAACTTTTCTCCAACTCAAGAATATTAATATTGATTCAGTATATCGAAAAATATTCTAAAACAAATTCATATGCTAGTACAGTGTATTTAAAATATCAGGCGATACTTAATCTTCGGCTTATACATATATATGAATTATTTCGTTCTCAAGATCTTAACAGCGGGTGACTCGTTATTTACGATCGTATATCACACGAGACATGCGTTTATCATTCGCGCTCTTTTCATATTTTATACTCGGAATTCAGCTTCGCCGTTTCACATTTGCTGCTTGCTTTCCTATCGGTTTCCTTCCGGTTAAGCGAACTGCTGTAGACCACACAAGAAAGAATACCCTTGCGATGATATTACGCCAGATACACCGCAGGCAAATTCTTTCCCGGATCAAGATGGGCATTCACGAGTTGCATTACAAAAGAGAGACGAACGGTTATACGTCATTTCTAAGATTCAACTCGTGGAAAATTCCTTTCGGTTGCAAATATTTTCTCTCGGCGCGCCTCTTGGAGTGTCAGCAAACAGGAAACAAGGTTACCCACGCGTATTCTATTGTCCCGTTTTAATATATTGCACTTTTATAACGCGTTCGCATATTTGCATGCGCTATGTGCTTTAACCATGAACAGCGATAATATAAAATTGTCGTCGTTAATCACATAATTAATAGCTATTAATATAAAATGGTTATTTACGGTGATGCCGTAGTATAACGTTTTTTACATGCCAGTTATTTTTATTTCTCGTCGATCTACGTCTTTCCGATTGCAGACGACTAACGGCACATAAACACAGTAAAGCCAAATGATTATCGATCTACTATCTACTACGTACCAACTGGAATGTTTATTGTACTATATCCATGTCATAGCACGATTACCATTCATGCGGTATAGGGCGGTTCACTTCTCGCGTGAGCTTTATATTTTTCATGTCACAAGACGGTCATTACTGACACGGTATTATTTGATACTGGTCACACAGCGGCGTCAAAGCCATTTCTCGTTTTCCTTTGGTTCTTTCTATATCTCCGTAAATGTGAATGAAAAACGACTCCGTAATAAAGTCGGATCTCGGGATCGTATCCCGATTGTTACAGATTTTACTTTAAGCCAACTTAAGCCGCCTCGTAGTTAATTCAATTAAGAACGGAAGTCCAGCGGATTTAGAGACTGGAAGTCTGTCGGATATCGAGTACTTCGACGCAACAAGTCAGACCATATGTCGATTATCACGTCTCTGTTGAATAGATTTCATTTCCAAAATCATCCCGAGATATATAAGATTGTTCTCTTATCGAAGAGATATAAATATCTCTGCGAAATTAATCCAAATATGCGAATTAAATTGATACATTCTTCTTTTACACGATCGGTTTTAAGGGGTCTTTTAAAGCTTCATGGAGGTTTTCGCTTTCAGAGAGAATTTCGCAGAAGGCCGCAGAAATAAAGTAGATAAAATGTCAGCTAGTGCGGCGAGAGATAAAATTTATTATACTTTACACGCAGGAAGAATATTTGGTCCATGGAAAATTCCGAAATTTTTGGAGCGTCTACTGTTTTGTCTCGAGTTTGTCTTATCTCATAAATCTCTCAAGCAAAATCCCTGCATACTTTTTTTTTACATAAAACGTTTTTTACATAAAAACAATTTTTAAAAAAGTTTACATGCTTTAAAACATAAAGATTTATTTATTGTAAATGGTATTTTAGAATGATTTGTAGAAATGCATACTCTTATATACGCGTCCACGCGACGCGAGCTTCCGTCCCACAGAAAATGACAAAATACTTTTAGCCAGGTGAAACATCTCGTTAGAGAAAAACCTTCGTCCGGCCGCTTCTGGATAGCATGAAAGACCGTAATCTTATTAAAGGGGGCCGAGATTAATTCATAACGCGTCACGTACAGCGAAAAATAGGACAGCCTTGCGGGATTTTGCAGTTTACCGCTAGAGATTTTCTTATATATGCATGTATTATGTATGTGTTTATGAAGGAAAATTTTCTTTTGAAATACGCCCGTGAAAATTTTAAAGAGGGAGAGAGAGAGGAAATGAAAAAGAGATAGGAAGAGGGAGAGAGAAGGAAAGAGCCGCTTAAGCATAAGGAAAACAATCGTTAAATTATTACTTGAAAGTGGTATTGTTGTAGAAGTTCGAAGAGTTGCTACTTGCGTGGTATCTCGATGTATGCTGCTCTTAATGCGTTCATAAATTTTAATTTTCAATTTTGTCGCGACACAGTTATTAAGGTGCATTCCAATTAATGCAGTTTCTCTTTCGAGATTTCTATAAAAAAGATATAAATTTTTCTGTTAAAATTTTGAGATTGCAAAAAAAGACAAATTCGCTTTCTTTAATATTTGCAGATTATATCCAAAAGCATTTATATATTTTCTACCAAGTCATCTTCTATATTATCACGATACCATAAACGTCAAAATAATTGCGATATCAATCATTAATCTCGTACAATGTGCGAAAAAATTGTGTGTTTCTTCCTTTATTACAGCTTCATCCCGAACAAAAGTTTCATTTTGCCGATAGTTACGATAGTGTTGTTTTTACTTGGACCTACATACTTTTGTATCTTTTCATCCATTCCTAATAAGTATATATGTATAGAAGGTTGTGCTCCCGCAGAAATGGGATACGAGTGAGATTGGCTAATCCTATTTTCGACTGAGAGAAAATTGTTTTCCCGCGGATAGAGTCGACAACGAGATTTATAAAAGCGATATCGCTAAAGTTATTTTTTCGAGGTAATGTATCGCGCATAGGCAAAGTTTATCAGGAAGCGTCAAGCAACAGGTCTCTCTCGCTGTTAGTATCATTAATTGTTATAAGACCATACTTGCCCAGCAAAAGCTCTCTGGTAATCTGGCTATAATATGAAAGAATTAATCCGTGTATTATTATTTCGTCAAAACAAACATTGCATTTATAAATTTATGCGTAAATTCTTAATCAACAAAAGCATAGCATAAATTGTTTTTGAAAATATGATAATGACAATGGAAAGGCAATCTCAATATAACGAGTCATTTAGTGTAATCCAAAATGCAACAAGCATGGTAAACTTAACCATATTTGTTGCCGCTTGTCTATACAATATTTAACGAGCCAACGGAAATTTCACCATTACTCCATTGTCACTATCTATAATGCCATTGCGGACTTTCGCAAGATGAATGTAATTGTCATCAAAATTACATATGGAAAATAAGATATTAACATATTGATACTGCATAATGATATAATAATTATAATTTTAAATAAAATTATAATATTATCTCTTTTCTCTCTCTTATATATACATATACATTATTTATATATGTTATTATTATATATATTATTTATCTATATTTATTTATAATATATATATACTATATAATAAATACATGTTTTTGAATATATTGTATATGAAGTTCTGTGTACAAATAAAGATTATAAAATATTTCTTTTATTAATTGTTCGTGGGCTCGATCGTATTGTCAGGCGATAGATTTACAAGATGCGTGTGTGTTTTCGTAATGTACAATATATTGTGGTTATCTGGCAATTTAGTTTGTATATCACCGATAAACCGCACCGTGTTGTGGAAGAGGCATTATGGTCTTGGGAACAGCTCGCAGTGGTTTCACTGCGATATATATATATATATATGTATATCGATATCATGCCGTGTTTTTGCTCAAAGTTTATACAAGTTTATACAAGCGATGTGCTATCGTAAAAATAAATAACTGGTCAGAAACTATCGAAGACCCAGCTGATATGGATCAATAATTAATCCAACTAAGCGGGGCAAGATGCAAGACACGCGATGGTCCTGTGTATATATCCGGAGTACTTACACTTGTTTATAAATTTTAATGACTCTCACCGAGCGCAACATAGCATAACGTTCCATAACATTTACGGGATGTCGTCGGTA